TTGAGCTTCTTGGATGGTCAGCTTTTCATCTTTCATGATATTGGAGAAGTTTTCTTTCAGCAGTTCTTCAATTATCCTGTCTATGTTTTCTGTTTCCTCCCCCTGTTGTGGAACTCTGATCACTTGCAGAGTTTTGCTTTTGATTGTATCCCACATAATTCTCAGGGTTTCTTCATTTTTCTTCATTCTTTTTTCTGATTTTTCTTCAAGCAGAGTTGTATCCAAGTGTTTTTCTTCAGTTTCTCTGATCCTGTCTTCCATTGTTTCAAACCTGCTCCTCAGCCCTTCTATGACACTGTCCATTTCTGAAATCTTGTTGTTTATCTTTTGAATTTCTAATTGTTGTTTTTGTATGATTTCTAGTTGTGAATTTATTTTAGCATTTTGTTCCTATATTATTTTCTTGAATTCTTCCATTTTTTTGTCTGTATTTTCCATGAATTTGTCTATTTTTTCTCATTTTTGTCTGCTTTTTGCTTCAACTCTTGGAGAATTCTGAGTATTAGAGATTTGAATTCCCTATCAGTTAGGTCTAGAGCCTTTTCTTCTACTGGAAGGTCATCTGGTGTTTTATTTTGCATGCCTACTAGAACCATCCTGTCCTGTTTTTGTAAATGTCTTGATATTGTCTGCTGTCTTTGGGGCATTCAGTGTTTATTTTCCTCATTTATTAATTGTAGATTTGTTTGTTTCATCCTGCTTTTTTGTTTTATTTGTTTATGTCTGAGCAGGCAGGGTGTATGTTCTTTGTTGTTTGCTCATCTCTGGGCACAATACTTTTCACCTCCGTCTCCAATGGACAGAGTCAGTCACTCAGGTATGGTACAGCAGGACAGGTCCAGCTGAAGGGGAGTTGCTGGAATGGATTGTTTGTGATACGTACTAGGGCTGATAGTGCGGACTGGGAATCAGTGCAGGGCAGGTTCCAGTAGGCCATGCTTGTGCTGCTTGGGAGTGTGATGGTCAGCGCATGGTGCAGGTAGGCAGGAAGAAGGGGTAGATTGTGATATGGGAAGCTAAGATGGGTATGGGAAAGATGAGAGAGAGGAGAGAGGAACAAGAGCTAAAAACATACAAACAAAAAAGAGTGCTAAGTGAGCTTGCTATTGGAGTAGAGATGAGAGACTGAGAAATGGGGAAAAACAAAAATGAAAAAAAAAAGAAAAAGGGTAAAAGAAAAAAATGAATAAATTGAGAAACTGGAAATGAAGAAAGAAAAAAGGGAAATAGAGAGAGAAGAAAACTAAACAAAGAAATAAAAAAAAAAGAAGAAGAAAAAAGAAATGTCCCCAGGGATGACCCTTTGCGTCTGGGCAGATTAAGGCACTAGCTTCCAAGCCGCATGGTACTGCCTGGCTAGAAGGGGCTCCCAAGCCGAGAAAAGAAAAAGAAAACAAACAAAATCAAAACAGAACAAATCAGAGCAAACTAACAAAATAGCCCCGGGGGTCCCACCAGCGTGGCAGCACGGGCCGGGAAGCAGTTTCACAGTGTAGCACTGTTTTGCAGCGTTTCAGGAAGAAGGAAAGATGGCGCACGGAGCCAGGTATTTGAGAGAAAGGAGGGGGAGGTGGTGAGAGGTAAGGAAGAAATCTAAAGAAGCGGAAAAAAGCAACACCAGTAGTGAAGAAATGGAACTTGGAGCTGGCCAGTACGGGCGGGTGGAATCCAAGTGGCACTGGGGGGAAGCTCTTGCTTCCCGGCCAATAGACTGTGGGTGCAGGAAGCAGAGGAGGCTAAGTAGGGGTGAAGAATGGTGGCGGGTGGGAAAGCCTATACCGGTGGTTCTGTGTCCTGCTGGAAGCTCCGTGAAGCTGCTTTCTCGTACCTCCTGCTCGCTGATCTCCGACAGGAGTCCAAGATGGCGGATCCGTGCTGTGGTAGCTTATAGGGGACCTCTGCATGTATCTCTCCTTGCGCTCTGTTCTCGGTCAGTTTATTATTCCATTCAGTGCTTGGCTGAGTTCTTTATCTCTTCATTTAATGCTTAGGGTTTCAGGATTGACGCGTGACTCTGTTTGACCTAGTTTTTCTGATCTTTGCTTCAGAGGGACGGCGTGGTGCTTCTGACTATAGCGCCATGTTGTCCAAAAGTCAATATTAGTTCTTTTGCGGTTGAGTTACTTCACTCAGCATAATGTCTTCCACCTCCATCCACACTGTAGCATGTATCAAGACTTCATTTCTTCTACTGGCTGTGTAGTAGTCCATTGTATGTATGTACCACGTTTTGTTTATCCATTCATCTGCTGATGGGCATTTAGGTTGTTTCCACTTTTTGGCTATTGTGAATAGTGTTACAGTGAACATTGGTGTACAAGTCTCTGTTTGAGTCTCTGCTTTAAAAGTCTTTTGGGTATATATCTAGGAGTGGAATTGCTGGGTCATATGGTAGTTCTATTTTTTGAGGAACTACCACACTGTTTTCCACAATGGCTGAACCATTTTACATTACCCCAACAATGGATAGGGATTCCAGTTTCCTCACATCCTTGCCAACATTTGTTATTTTCTTTCTTTTTTTTTTAATCTTAGCCATCCTAGTGGGGGTGAAATGGTATCTCATTGTGGTTGCGATCTGCATCTCTCTGATAGCTAATGATGTTGAGCATCTTTTCATGTGTTTGGTGGCCATTTGAATGTCCTCTTTGGTGAAATATCTGTTCAAGTCCCTTGCCCATTTTATGACTGGGTTATTGGTCTTTTTGTTAAGTTGCCAAAGTTTTATATATATTTTGGTTATTAGATTCTTGTTGGGTGTATGGTTAAATACTGCTTTTCTTAAGTGTATTGAATAATTTGGATCTGTCCTCCCTTCCATTCTTTTATAAGTTAGTTCACTGGTTGCAAAATGGCCCCTGATTACTGTAGTCTTCTCCAGTTTAAAATATTTGTTTCTTGAAAGAAGCACATATTTTTGAGCCTTAAATCTAAAATGAAATTTTTATGTGTGTCTTTAGCAAAGGATGATATTCTCAATGATACCCTCAATAATCCCTTAATGAAGCAGTTGTACAAAAATGTATCACAGTGAGCACAGTTGTAGAGTACGGAGACCCTATAACCTGGTCTACAACTGTTGTCTGGTGAAATTAGCATTGTCACCACCTATCATTCTCACAGGTGTCCCATTTTGGAGGGTTAATTATATATGATCAGATTATTTGGGCCAAGACAGTAGAGTCCAGACATGTAACTTTCTGATGGTCTTATTCAGTCCAGAGAAATTAATGGATTGATAACATGGTGTTTATGTCGCCTTACATTTATAGAATTCTTCCTAATTGAATTTGATAAAAACTGAGAAGCAAACAGTTTGAAACAAAATCCTGAGCCCTAGGTATTCTTTTGTCTGGTTAAGAGGATTGCTGCTTGCTTCAAAAGTCGGCTTTAGACCAAAATGGTTTAAACTCACTGACTTTAAGGTATTGCATAAAGAAATTGTTTTATATTTTATCATTAATTTTCTCCTCCTCATGATATTAATCATGGCATATATTATTTTCACGTTATAGATGAAAAAACTAAAGACATAGTAATTTCTCACTTCTCAGAGGTAGAGCTTGAAATAGAACTCTAGTCCATTTAAATTTAATGTGTAGTTTTTTTTTAATTGTGCTTTAAGTGAAAGTTTACAGTTCAAGTCAGTTTCTCATTCAAAAATTTATACACACATTGCTATGTGACCCTAGCTGCTCTCCCTATAATTTGACAGCACACTCCTCCTTTCCACCCCAGATTTCCTGTGTCCATTCAACCAGCTCCTGTCCCTTTTTGCCTTTAATGTGTAGCTTTTTAAAAAAATATTTCTTAGGGAACAATAATGATGATAATAGCTAGCTTGTTTTTGAATACATACTATGTTCAGGTACTGTTCTAAGTGCTTTTCTTGGATTTTTATGTTCTATCTTTCCCTGACCCTGTGAGGTGGGTACTGCCAGTATCCACAGCTTATAGTTGAGGAAATTGAGAGAGAGAGAGGCTAACTAACTTGCCCAAGATGACACAGCTAAGTCAGGATTGAAATGTAGGCAGTACAACTCCAGAATGCACGCTTCTATCTCTTAGGCTGTATTGTGTCTGTAGAGAACATAGTTTGTAAACTGCTTTTAAAAGTAGATTAAAAAAAAAGATTAACGAAAGGTAGTTTAGTGATAATATGCTACCTCTTTTTAAAACAATCTGTGTTCCCTTTTAAAATTATCCTGTCTTTCATATTTGTGTTCTTCAGATTTGGGGGACATTTAAATTATTTTATTTTTAGGAATCTGGGGTATTGGAGTTGCAACCCAGAAAGTGAACTTGAATCAGATTCCTCTTGGCCGAGATGTGCACAGTCTGGTGATGAGGAATGATGGAGCCCTGTACCACAACAACGAGGAGAAAAATAGGCTGCCAGCAAACAGCCTTCCACAGGAGGGAGACGTAGTGGTGAGTTTTCTTGTGGAATTGTTTTCCGCTATAGATTATTAAACTCACATTGCTTTTCGTCTATTCAGTTTTGTCTGGGAATTTGTGGTTTGAATTTAAAAGCACTAGGATTTAATCTAATGAGTTGGTTACATTTTCCAAAAGGAGCACCTGGGGCAGGTGCTGCTGCCTTACCTGACTGCCTGCTGCTTTCTAGAGCTGCTGCTACCCAGGAGGATCATTGTGAGCCCATATTTCAGTTCAGGGGGATTCTTGACAGGTTCGATCTGATCTGCAGCTGATCATGGGGATGGCACAGGACTGGGCGGTGTTTTGCTCTGTTGTGTATGGGGTCCCATGAGTTGGAGGCTGACTCTGCAGCAGCTAACAACACCAACAATTGACAGGTTGGCTGCTGATCAGCATTTCCTGCTTTTTTCACATCAGACAAACGTTGGCTCACAGTTTTAAAAGTTTGCTGACCCCTGTGTTAGAAAAATATTAGATGTTTTTGAGGCTGGAGATCTCTTAGAGAAAATTTTGAATTCATCACTTAATTTGTTATGAACTTTTGTTAATTACAGCATTTTTTCAAGAGAGTTGGTTCTCATTAAATTTAATCTTATTAAACTTCTTCACTTTCAGAACTCTTCAAAGAACTGGACTCAAGATCCTAAGATTTGACTAGAGAAAAGGTTTTTAGAAAGCAGAGGATAGAGTTATATACAATAAGACTTCTCTATTTTTATTCCCAACTAGATATATTTATCTCTTTACCAAAGGCACCCTGTTAAAAATGTAATACAAAGCTATTTTCTCTAGTTCCCTTTCCAGATACTTCCTCTCATACTGTTGTCTGAGAACCTTATATAGTGAGTTCAGGCTATTAGTTACTGACTGAGAGCAGAGTCCTGTGTCTTCCTTAGCAAAGGTGCCCTTGCACACATGCAGGACCTTGGGCTCCTGGCTCTGGTAGCAAGTTGAAAGGAATCTGAATAACAAGGAAGGTGTCTAATAATAAGACACAGACAAGGTAAATCCAGGTTATTGAATTAAAGAAATATAAAGTATTTTGGAAAGAATGAAGAAAGATATAGAAATCAAGAATTTTAATTATGATCTGGTCTTCTGTTTTCTGCAATTCAAAAAATATAAACAGTTAATTTTATTTTTGAACTTTTTTTTCTAAATTGACTGAAGAAAAAAGGAGGCAAAAGGCATAAACCATTTTTACAATCAGCTTTTCCCTGTCCTTTTTGAATAATTGGTTCTGTATTTGTAGATCATTGCCATATGTCCATAATATAGAATGTCCTTCTTGAAATGGTTATTTCTTGAAAGAGAATCTTGAAGTTAAGTTGATGCTGTCAACCCGTTTACACCAAAAGATAAAATTCAAACATAAGAAAGGATAATCAGTAACAAATGTTTTTCTTTGTTGATGCAGTGAACTTCTGTGTGTAATTCTTGTCGTCTCATTCGCTGAGGTGACTGACACCACAAACGGACAGCTTTAATGATGTCAAGTTTAGTCCATCAACATTATGAAGTTAGACTTTGAGTTTTGGTGCCCATTCTGATAAAAGAAGGACTAAACAAGATGAAATGCATGCAGAGTCAAGAAAAGTAGAATGTTATCTACCATATTAACTTTATCTTCCTAGCTCAAACACCTGAGAACGAATTGTACCAAACTGGTGACAGTGGCGTAGGAAAAGTAGAATGGATTATAAGATGTAAAAACCATTTTCATGTGTGTAGAATTTCAGTTACATGCCATTCTCTGAAGAGAAGTCAAGAAAAATAAGCTCTAAACATCTAACCAAATGATTATATTTATGCAATAATCATACTGTATCAACAGGGTCAACAGCAGCACTAGCTTATGCTTAGTTTTTACTTTTATATATAGTTTTGAAAAGTACGAATTCCATTCTAAAAACACATTTTTCAGTTTCACGTTAGAGAAGTTTTAGAAACATTCTCTGTAATAATAATAATAAGAACTTTTATGGCATTTATTATGGGCCAGGCACTGTTCTAATGCCTGGCGTGGATTCAATTGTTTAATCCTCATAATGACCATTTAAGATGGATAGTATTATTATCCCCATTTTATAGACCACATAGGATTTTTTGGTATCAGTATGGCAGAGTCAAACCCAATTCACAGATCATATAAAAGGACAAATTAGGTTAGAAAATACTTAAACTAAAAACTCTGTTAGGGATTTCACATCTTTCCTCACTTATTTCTTTGGTGTTGGGGTTTTGTTGCTAGGCTGGAGGCTTGGGTTAAAATTTGCTTGCTTGTAGTAGGTTATGCTGCCATTAGGTGGTGTAGGGCTCCTGGATTACCACCTGCTGATCTGAACTACGGAGCCCTAGGAGGCACAGTGGTTAAGCATTTGACTGCTAACCAAAAGGTCTGCAGTTTGAATCCACCATCCCTTCCTTGGAAACCCTATGGGGCAGTTCTGCTTTATCTTATAGGGTCACTATGAGCAAGGGGTTTGTTTGTTTTTTATCCGAACTACTAGGTTTCCTGTGGTCCTATAAAAAGAATAGCACACTCTCTTTTATGTAATTATGTTTTATTTTTTAAAATAAAAACAGACATCTAAGTTAAAAAAAGCTACTTCTAGTCGTTAGCTTTGTATTTAAGTATATACACTAAAATGACAAAGGGCAATCATGTACAGTTTATGTCTCCATTCCTGTTGTACATCTTCCTGTTCCTTTTCTGTTGTAAATCATTGTTTAACCCTGGCTTTGCTAAGATTTGAGGAGAAACTTCTATAGCACTTACCACATTGACTTCTTTGGGCTTCTGCTGTCTTAACAGAAAAGTGAGAGAGTTGAGATGATCTATAAAATCTTTTTCTACTTCTGAAACGCTTTTAAGTTATATACTTCATCCACAGTCAGAAATCCTTGAAGTGGCTTGTTTTTCACCTGTGATGCTTTCTCTATTGAAAGATCTCTACTACTGTTCTTAATTCTTTAAAGGAAAGGTTTTTTTGTTATCAGTCAGTAACTATCATAAGATTTTAGAAGTAGTATGGCATGGTGATTAAGAGCGAGTATACTGAAGCCATACTGCATGGGTTTAAATCTTAGCTCTGCTACTTCTTAGCTGTGCAACCTTAGGTAAATTAACTAATGTCCCTGAATTTTAACTACCTCATCTGTAAAATGAGGGTGATAATACTTATCTTGTTGTGGGGATTAAATAAGTAAATGTGAAGTGCCTAGAATAGTGCCAAAAAGCCCTGGTGGCACAATGGTTAAGCGCTCGGCTGCTGACCGAAAGGTCGGCCAGTTCAAACCTACCAGCAACTCCATGGAAAAAGACCTGGTGATCTGCTCCTGAGAAGATTACAGCCTAGGAAGCCCTATGGAGCAGTTCTACTCTGTCCTATAGGGTTGCTGTAGGATCGCTATGAGTCAGAATCGACTCAGTGGTACACAACAGTAACAACGACAGAATAGTGCTTGGAACATAATATGGGCCAGGTGTTTTCTAGTACTTTAATCATAATTAACTTATTATTACTAATTAACTTGATTGTGATTTTTGTACCATCAATAGTGTTCAAAGTAATACATATATATTTGTGTGTGTGTATAGTTTTTAATCTTTTGAGCTGTTGTTTTTCTACTTTTCAACTTGATACTAATTATTAGTTATTATATTTAGTTGTAAACACCAGCTTTATCTCTGTAAGGCACTTGACATATTTGAAACCAGAGTAAAGATATACAGAAATGTATGATTTCATTTTGGAAGTAAATTGTATAAAGACATTTCTTTACAACTTGAAAACAGTGACAGGTAATAAGCCCTAATGGTGAAAATCTCATTGTTTTCCCCTTAAGATCAAATTTTATATAGTGAAGGTAGTGTTGTGTGTAAGAGTTAGAAAAGTCTCTCTGTTCAAGGTGTGCAGTACTTACATCATCTTAATATTCAAAATATAAATTCCAGATGGTCTGAATATAATCGTAGGTTTTAAACAATGGTCATTTGTTTTACCTTTAATGTGGACTCTTGGGATTTTAGCTGACTTTTTTCCCTCATATAATAACAATTAAATTTTTTGGCTCTGTTCTAGTAGGGCTCTGCCAGATTGTCAGCCCTTAATGAAAGCTATTGAGACCCTTTGTTTACTCAGTTTTTCATGTTTCCATGCTTCCCAACCAGTGCTTTCTGACTGTTCAGGTTTTTAATGGAGCCTTTATGTATTTATACTTTTTAATTTTTTCTTTCCTTCATAGGGTATTACATATGACCATGTAGAACTAAATGTATACTTAAATGGAAAAAACATGCATTGTCCAGCATCAGGTATACGAGGGACAGTGTATCCAGTTGTTTATGGTAAGCCAAAATATTTCTGTATTATTACATATATGTTAACTCTTGCTTGGCATTTTTATTAACTTTATTGCTATCATTCAGAAGTCAGGGCAAATTGTTAATAAGAACTTTTTATATGGAGTGGACTCAGCAGGATATCAGGGTCCCACTTTGCAGGAGTAAGGATAGTTTCTTCTTTTTCATGTATTAAAAAAACAAAAAACAACTTTCTAAATACATTGATTATACTTAAATATGCAGTAACCATATTCTCTTTTTTATCCTTCTAGTCCTATATTCTAGAGAGTTCCAAAAAGCATAACAGAATTTACAAAAGATCTTTTTGCCAGTTATTAGGGAGGATTAGATAACCAGGAAATGAAATTATAAAGAGTATTTTGGAATAGGGATGGGAATTTTATGTAGATTGAGATTAATTACCTTTATAAAATTACCTAAATGTTACTTAAAGCTCTTCTGAGATAAATTATGACTTAGAATAATTTCATATTGATTGTTTTGCTTTTGTTATCCATGTGTGTATAAGTACTATAGTTTCTATACAAGCATACCCCTCCAAGAGTTGGATTACTTAAGAGATGACTCTGTATCACTTAATTATTTTAATTTTTATTATAGAAAATTTCAAACATGTACAGAAGTAAAAGAATAGCGTAATGAGCCCTCATGTACTATTATCAACCTCATAGACAATCAGGTTTCATCTGTCCCCCAGTACTCTTTCTGTTCTTCATCTTCCCTCCTTGGGTTATTTTGAAGCAAATGGCAGACATCATATCATTTTAGCCATAAATAGTTCATATGCATCTCTAAAAGTTAAGGTCATTCTTTTTTAAAACAACCATAATGGCTTTATCATTTTATCCCACTTTATTTTTTAAGTTCTCAAATTTAAGTCGACAGGCATATGATTTTTCTGCCTATGGTTTTCGTAGGTCTAAAAATATTTTCTCACTAAAAATATTTTGTGCCTTACATTTTAGTTAAGGTTTTCATTAGTCTCCTTTTCTTCTAAAAATTACTTTTCAGTGATTTTTACTTCTGTATCTTTACAGTGTAAAAATGTGTTTTGAAAGTAGATTTAGGTTAGTTTTCTTGCATACTGAATAAGCCTAAAAGTAATTCCTTTGCTTAAGTACTTGAAAATGTAGCTTGATAAATGAAATATTTTAGCCTTAGAACTGAAATAAATATCAGTAGACTTTCTGAGTTATGCAAGTGAATATAGCAAATAAAGTTACTGTTTTCAATTGCTTCTTTGATTCAGAATTTATTTAAACTTATTTTATTTTTGTGTTGTTGTTGAGTATATACACAGCAGAACATATACCAGTTCAGCAGTTTGTACATGTACATTTCAGTGACATTGATTACATTCTTCAAGTTGTGCAGTGATTCTTACCCTCATTTTTGGAATTGTTCTTCCCCCGTTAACATAAACTCACTGCCCTCTAAGCTTCCTATGTAATCTTTCGAGTTGCGGTTGTCAGTTTGATCCCATATAGATACATCTTCAAAGAGCACAAAGCTGAAGGTAGACATTCTTTACTAATTAAGCTAAACTGGGAGCCCTGGTGGCTCAGAGGTTAAGCACTTGGCTGCTAATTGAAAGTTCTGCAGTTCAAATCTACCAGCTGCTCTGCAGGAGAAAGATGTGGCAGTCTGCTTCCATAAAGATTTATGGCCTTGGAAACACTACGTGTCAGTTCTACTTTGTCCTACAGGGTCGCTATGAGTCAGAATCTACTTGACGGCAGTGGGTTTGGCTTTTTGGTAAGCTAAACTATTGTTTGGTTTTAAGAAGACTTTAGGGGATATTTTTGGTTTAAGATTTAAAGATTACTTCAGGCCAGTAGTTTCAGGGGTTCGTACAGTCTCCATGACTCCAGAATGTCTGGATTCCATGAGAATTTGAAATTCTGTTTGATTCATCATTATTTTTAATGTAGTAAAGTTATATGTAGTAAATTAACATTGCATAAATTGGAATCGATAAATTAGCCAAATTAAAACCAAGTATTTTAATAGCATGATACTATCAAAGATAAAAATAAAACTTAAAAGCCTTAATTCCTTTCCCCTCTGTCTTTCATTCCATTGCTAATCTTAGATCAATCCTGTCATTCATTTTGTCTGTTCTTGCTTACAACCTATGGAGAGAATAAAACTTTCTAACACTAAAGAAAAGTGCAGCTACAATGTTATGACCTCCAGCCAAATATAGGCTCTTAGTATATTTGGGTGATTCTTTCCATCTGTCTAATTGGGCCTCGGAGTCCCTGGGTGGTACAAACGGTTAATGTACTCAGCCTCTGACCGAAAGGTTGGAGGTTTGAGTCCACCCAGAGGGTCCTTGGAAGAAAGGCTTGGAGGTCTACTTCCCGAAAACCCTGCGGAGTACAGTTCTACAGTGACACACGTGGGGTCACCGTGAGGCGGAATCTACTCAGGGCAACTGGTTTTTAATTGTGTCTCATTCCGCATTCCCAGTCTTCCCCGTGCTGCTTAAATTCCCCACTTATTCTATGCAGGTGACCTTGCCTTCTACTTTTTAAAGAAACAGGCTATCAGTAGTGACTTCTAGCTTTACTCCCTTGTCCTGAAGCTGTTCTGAATCAACTGCCATTTTACCTTATTTCTATTCCATCTCAGAGGAAGCCATATCCTTCCTGTTCAAAACTAACATGTCTATAGTCTAGATTTCAAACTCCCTCTACTGGGACTTCAGTTGGTCAGTTATTTCTATCTGTATCTCATGTCATCAACATCTCTCTTTTCAATGCCTATAAACATTCTGAGTCTCCCCCATCCCAAAAAACCCTCCCTTGAACTTGTATCCTTTGCTATCCCTGTGCTTACCCTTCTCTACCAAAACCAAACCCATTGCCGTCGAGTCAATTCTGACTCGTAGTGACCCTATAGGACAGAGTAGAGCTGCCCCATAGAGTTTCCAACGCTGTAAATCTTTATTGAGGCAGACTGCCATGTCTTTCTCCCACGGAGCAGCTGGTGGGTTCAAACCACTGACCTTTCAGTTCGCATCTGAGCGCTTAACCACTGCACTACCAGGGCTCCTTACCCTTCTGTATATGACTCCATTTCTTAATAATCTATACCCACCCTCTTTATTGTGTTGTTCATTTATTCTTCAACCCAGTGTGGCTGCCATTACCACCACTTCATTGAAACCACCCTGGTTAAAGTCACTACTGACTTCATAAATGTCAAATCTAGTTCTTATCTTTTTCATTCATTATGAAGTATATATAGAAATATGTATTAAACACATATGTACAGCTAAATGAATAGCTGTAAAGTGAACACCCATGTTCACAGAACATTGTCAGCGACCCATACTGCAGCTCCCATTACAGCTCCACCCCTTTCTCACGAGATAATCACTATCTTGACTTTAGTGCCAATTATTTACTCGCTTTGATTTATGAGTTTTGATTTTGTTTGTCACCACAATCAAAATAATGAACATTTTCATCACCCAAAAGTTTCCTTGGGCTCCCTTGTAATCCTTCCTGCTCACCTCTCCCCACTCCACCCCCAAGGAGGAATCCACTGATCTGCTTTCTGTCACTACAGATTAGTTTGCATTTTTTAGAATATTAGATAAACAGAATTATGCAGTTTGTACTCTTTTTGTCTAGGTTCTTTTACTCAGCAAAATTATTTTAAGATGTTGTAGCATGTATTAGTAACTCATGACTTTTTATTGCTGAGTAGTATTGTGTAGCTATATCACAATTTGTTTATCCGTTCACTTGTTAGTGGATATTTGGGCTTCTAGTTTTGGCATATTACAAATAAAGCTGCTATGAACATTTGGTTTTTGCATGGATATATATATTCTTTTCTCTTGAGTGAATACCTAGGAGTAGAATGGCTGGATTATATGGTAGGTATATGTTTAACTTTTTAAGAAACTGCCGACCTGTTTCCAAAGCGGTTGGACCATGACCATTTTACATTCCCATCAGGAATGTATGAGAGTTCCAATTCCTCCACATCCTCACCAACACTCGGGCTTATTTGCCATTCGTATAACTTCTTTTTGGAGTCCCTGCATGCTGCAAATGATTAATGTGCTTAGCTGCTAACTGAAAGGTTGGAGATTCAAGTCCACCCACAGGTGCCTCATAGGAAAGGCCTAGTGATCTACTTCCAAAAAATCAGCCATTGAAAACCCTATGGAGCATGGTGCCGCTCTGACACACATGGGGTTGCTATGAGTCAAACTCAACTCCATGGTAGCCGGTTTTATGTCTTCTTTGGTGAAGTGTCTGTTGAGATCTTTTGCCCATTTTTTTTTTTATTGAGTTATTTATTTGCTTATTATTGAGGTTTTTTTTTTCCAAATAATATTTTATTGTGTTTTAGGTGAAAGTTTACACAGCATATTAGGTTCCCCTTTAACAGTTTTTATACAAATTATTCCATGCCGTTGGTTACAATTTTTACAATGTGTCAGCATTTTCATTATTTTCATTCTCTTTGTTCTGTTTCCATTGATCCAGCTTCCCTTCCCCTCCTTGCCATCTCATCTTTGCCTGTTGACTGTTTGGTCTCATATAGTTAATTGTTTAAGGGAGCACATTACTCACCGGTGATATTGTTTATTTTATAAGCCAATCTATTGTTTGTCCTAAAGATGACCTGCAGAAATAGCTTCAATTCCAAGTTCAAAAGGTATCTTAGGGCGATAATTTCAGGGGTTCTCTAGTCTTCATCAGTCCAGTAGGTCTGGCCTTTTTTAGGAATTTGAGTTTTGTTCTACATTTTTTTCCCATCCTATCCAGGACCTTCTGTGTGCTCCTGGTCAGAATGGTTGGTAGTGGTAGCCAGGCACCATCTAGTTCTTCCGGTCCCGGGCTTGAGGAGGTTGTGGTTCACGTGAGCTCTTAGTCCTGTGGACTCGTTTCTTCTTTGAGCCTTTGATTTCCTTCATTATCTTTTGCTCCATATGAGTAGAGCCCAAAATAGTTGTATCT